AATTTTTTTAACTCAATTATTGCCGACCTTTCTGCTTCGCCGATCCGGACCAGTTTTCTAGATGGGCGATCCAAGCCATCTATCTGTTTTTTTATCACTGCTCCTAGCAATATATAGCTAATCTAAATGCTCTAATTTTTATTAAATGTGGTTTTTCATAGTGATTAATAAACTATTTCGGAGAGCATTGCAATATCCATTGTCGTCGTATAATATTGTGCAGCTCACTCTACTTGTGTCACGAGTTTAGTGTCAACTCTGTGGCTCAAAACCAAAATCTTATAATAAGTTGATATTATACTTACAAAGTCATTAAAAGTTAATTAAGATTCAAAAACTTATCTATTAATTTGATCACCAAAGCATCAAGTAAATAAAAGATAACGTGACTGATCTTAAATACACCTTTCATGAAAAAAGAATATTTTATTTATGATTTAAGTTATAATTAATTTATTATTTATGATATTGCTCAATTATAAATTTAATTGACAGTTATAATTTTAAACTTATTTATTAATTAGTGTTTTAAAATTCGATATTTACAAATTATTTTGATAAAAAAATTGAAACTGTTTTGCTAACGGGAGCAATCATACACTATGGCCACGAAGGGTTTTTATCGATTTTCACTTCCAGGTCTCTCGGTTCAAGGCCCACATGAATTAATATATATACTCATTTTACTTCCAGGTCTCTCGATTGAGGACCCACATAAATTAGTTCAAATACTAATTTTTTTGTTTTGTTTTCCAAAGTCTCTTAATTGAGGACCCACATAGTTTACCACACATGCTTATTTCTCCTTGAGCCTAAAATATCCTCTCACCTTTCTAAGTTTTGGAGAAAATTTCCTTAACTGCTTACCTCAGTGGGATTACTACCATTAACAATGAATGAGGATCCAAGTTTGTAGCGAATTTTCAAGCCTCCTCTTTTACCATTTTCTAAAATTCCTTTTGTTGTGTATTGAAGAGATCCTTTGATTTTTCAAGAGAGAAAAAATCCAAGTAGTTCTAAATATTTTTGAATCTATTGATTTTTAAGAAAAGTTCTATGATACAAGTAAATAATGAATCAAGTTTCATTATTTACAAGTAGTTTTGTTTACTGGGTTTGTAATGAAAATGTTGAGAGAGAGAGAGTAAATGTCAGCAGACCTGTTGGAGAGTTTAACGATGCATGTGAAGTCACAAAATACTCTCTCTAGCACGACTAAAATGTAATCTTTGTAGGTACCATAATAAGTTGGAAAATTGTGCATCTGTTACCTTTCTTGAGTTTGGCATTACAACACAAGTGGGTCATAGAGTTGGAAAATTTTGCGGTTACCATAATGAGTAGGAAAATTGAGCACATGCCATCTTTTTTTGAGTTTGGCATTACAACACAAGTGGACCAAAGAATTGGAAAATTTTGTAGGTACAATATTTAGTTGGAAAATTGAGCACCTGGCACCTTTCTTGAGTTTGGCATTACAACACAAGTAGACCATAGAGTTGGAAAATTTAGTGCAAACGAAAAGGATATAGTGTGTACAATAATATTTTAGAAATGGATATCTTATTTTTCTTATTTTTTTATAAGCTTTTGAATTCATTTTTAAGATTAGACACCCAAAATGGGGATACTCGTCGTCACCAGTGTAGAGAGCTCGAGTTACTCGAGCGAGTCCAAGCGGACTCACCTATCAGTCGAACGCTGGTCTTGATTTTTCCCCCACAGTTATTCGTACATCTGAAATTTTTTGATGATCAATTTGGAATTCCTTTCATATTTGGGCTAGATGGAATAACGAGTCTATGATTAGTAAATACACTCCCTGGGAGCATGAGAAACTCATTTCCCGGTAGGAAAGAGGTGGTGCCTCACGGAACTGAAATGAATCCAATCCAACCCTACACCCCAAGCTTCTCTTTTGGCCAAGTTTCCTAATTACTCCCAAGCCCAGTAGGAAAATGAACGGACCTGATTATTTTTATGGAATGAATGCCCATGCTTGAATCACAAAGGAGCCAACTAGGCTCGTCCAAGTAGTTCCGGTCGCCACCTTGGTGAGCCAGAGTATCTCGAGTATGGTGGTGAAGCTCGGCATCTTAAAAAATTTAAAAAAATAAAAAATAAAACAATGAATTGTAATATTTTTTAATCATTTTGGCTAAGATTGGCAGTTGTTTTGGTCAGAAATATTTATTTTTATATTTTTCCTTTTTTTGAGATTATTTTTAAAATACCCTTGATGACAAATTGATTTTTTCAGAATCTGTTTTTCACTACTTCTTTAACTTATGTTAGATGTGTTTTATTTAATTCTACTATAAACATATTAAATTTTTTGATTTTTTAATTTTTTTTAACATTTGTTTGGCGTGGCCAAGACCTACCAAACTCCGGCCCGAGTTACTTAGCCTGGCCCATGGCCAACTTGTGCTTTCCTACACTCCTTGAAATTGAAGTTATGGGTGTTCAAGTAAAGGCAAACTTGGTCACAATAACGACAATTAGAGATTGCAAATTGGCTTCCAAGCCACTTGGTTGTGGATCAGAAGAAGATAAATATGTGGAAAAATATCTATGTACGTCCTGTTTTTTGCTTCAATTTCTCAAGACACTCAAGAATTTAAACTATTTTTTGTTAAATAAAGTTTCTATCTCTTATATCTTTCTATCCCTGGCTCCTTTTGACCATATATTGACCTAAATAACTTTTAAAATGACTCCATCTCTCTCTCAAAACACCGTATTTCTCTCCCCTCACTCTCTCTCTCTCTCTCAAAACTCCATCTCTCCCTCTAAACATAAAAAATTCTCCCCAATTTCAACATAGAAGAGGACACAAATTCTAGCAAGAGCTTCAATTTCCTACTCAGAGATTCAAGATGAACTACATTTGACTTACAAACCCTAGAATCAGCTCTATTCAATTTCAATTTTCTGTCGTCTAGAGACTAGAGAGCTTTTATTTTCTGAAATCTTGGCAATGAAATACTAAGGTTTTTCCTTAGGGTAGAGAGTGCAAACATGGTGCTTGCAGTAATGGCAGTTGTGGCCATGGCGGATGACAATAACAATGTGTTCCAGCTTTTCCAAGACACTCGCATCCAGAAATCAGATGGCTTCACATTTGGTATCGCCTTCTGAGGTCTTCTTTCTTTGTCAACAGTACCATACAGCTTTCACCTTGTGATCGAAGGTTTTCTCTCTTTATAAACAATGCCCAACTTGCGATGTTCAGCCCAAGGTGGACCAAATCTCTCTCATCACCATTAATACCACACCGGAGACATATGGTGGGTACATGGTAAGATTTGCAGGTCAAAAATATGCTGCTAGATCTCCTTCCACTTTTGTTGCAAACTCTACATATACAGTCCCAAGCTTCACTTTGGTGCTTGAGTAGAAGGGACATTGCAAAACTTGTATGGGAAAAGAAATGGATTCGCGTCTTGCAAGGAAAACCCAAACCTTGCTTTTGGAGAGAGAGAAAGAAAGAGGTGAGAGAATGAGAGACGGAGTTTGAGAGAGAGAGAGGCGAGAGAATAAGACATGGAGTTTTGAGATAGAGAGAGGGGCGAGAGACGGAGTTTCGTAAGAGATTAGACGGAGTTTTGTAAGAGAGATTAGAATCATTTCACAAATTGTTTAAGTTAATAATATAAGATCAAAGGAGTTGAAAGATAAAAAAATAAAGACCTAATGTTGCTAGAAATAATTTAAATCCTTTATTCTATTGAGAAATAGGTGTCAAATATAAAAACGTACAAATATATTTTCCCTAAATTATTGGGTTCCTTCCTTGTGTGGATCATTATTCAAAATGGCTTTTCATTTCATTTTTTGTACTGAGTCTATTATCATGCACCATGACCACAAGCCAATGGAAAAGAAATACAACTCATACGTTTGGAAATAAAGACTTCATTGTCACAAGTCCCAATAAATGGCCAAAAGGACTTGTTCAAACCATAGCGATAGAGAGAGAGAGGGCATGCCGTGCCCTACGGGTATGTTCATTGGGCCGGACTGATGCTTTAACGGGCCGGCCTGGAAACGCCAAGAAGCTTGCCCAGTGGGCCATGCTAGTTCTAGGAGCTTGGAAATGAAGGGCCGGCCCAGATGATTTAGCATGCTGTGTTAGTTTTTTTTTTTTTATTGTAAACCTTCACTCTTCGAATTTTTTTTATCTAAAAACCCATTCTATCAATCTAGAAACCCAAGTTTTATATCTCTATCTAACTTTATTTCTCTATCTAAAACTTCATTTCTCTATCTAAAATTTTATATTCTCTCTACAGAAATTCAATTTCTCTTTCTCTCTAAGAGCCTATTTTTTATCTCTTTAAAAACCCAATCTCTCTTTCTTTCTCTAAAAACCCAATCCCTCTCTCTCTAAAACATTACGCTCTCTCTCTCTAAAATATCTCTCTTTAAAAAAAATTAGAGATGGACTGTTTCTTACGGTTAAAGAATCAAACCGAGAGAGAGATTGAGAAATTATGATGTTTGCTACTGCATTGGAATAAACGGAGAGGAGAGGGAGGAGAGAGAAAATACTCAGAGAGAGAGATCATGATGTTGGATAATACAGTAGAATAAACAGAGACAGGCGAGAGAAAATACTCTGCTCTAGGTATCTACTTCAGAATTAAACACACTCAACAAATAAAAGAAAAACCAAACCAAACCAAAAAGCCCAAAAAAACAATGATCTCCAAAGCACGGACAAAATACTCCACATTTTCACATGCCCTAGAGAGAGAAACCCATTAAGAAAACCCCCCAAATTTTCACATCACCTAGAGAGAGAAACACCCATTAAGAACAAACCCATAAACAACACAAATAAAACCCAAAAACTTCACATACACTAGTGCAAGAGGGCACCCAATATATGAGCACCAGGCACACAAGAAGCTTTCAACTGAGGGAATCATAGTAACATCACTTGCACGCAAATATTGTAATGCATTTATAGGTATGATTGCTCACCCGTTCCATTTTCACTTGGAAAACCGCAGCAATATAACTACGATTTTATCCATGTAACGAAAACATGCATCAGTCCAGGACTTCCTTAAGAACAGCAGAAGAATGTTTCCCCCAAATCCTACTCTGAATCTCAATCCAATGCTCATATCAAGCCATGGGAATTCAAATTTGTTCCTGCTTCTTTCAATACGATCAACAAAGGGAGGAGGTTCAAGTTTGCCCTCAGAGCCTTGGATGGGGGGAGGTAGACATAAGTATGGGTTCTCGGAGTATATGGATGTGCTAAATGTTTTCATTTGGTTTCCTGTGGGGATTTGTCCCGACAAATTGTTGTTGGATAAGTTTAGAGCACTTAAAGAAGTCATGGATGAAATGCTTGGAGGGATGAGCCCGGAGAGTTGATTGTTTGAAAGGTCTAACAACTGTAATTCCTTCAACTTCGCGATCTTTTCCGGAATGACTCCACTTAAATGGTTTTTCGACAAATTCAAGAAGACCAATCCCAACAAGCTTGTTAATTCTTCAGGAATTTCTCCCTCTAAATGGTATCTTGAAAGGTCTATGCTTTTTTCCAAAGACAAAGTCATGCTATATTCAAGTATTTGCCCTTCTGCTACCACATCCAAACCTTCCATTTTCTCATTTGATAGATATCCATAGCACTTATGATCATTGTATACTATAGCAATCCTCATGGTTGTGAAATTTCCAAAACTCTTAGGTATGGTTCCTAATAACCTATTTCCACTAAGATCCAAAACTTGAAGAAAACTCAATTGTATCAGTGCTTGGGTCGATCTCCCAACGAATTTGTTTGATCTTAGGTTAAGATATTTATGAAGGAATTTTTCCTGTGAACTCATTACAACTAGATCCAAACTTTCCAATGAAGACCAGTTTTTCAACGCGTGAGGGATTTCTCCTAATAACCGGTTATTTGCCGACTCTAGCGTAGCAAGTTCTTCAAGAGCCACCAGTGAAGACACTAAGCTTCCGAATAACTCTAAGCTTTCGAATAACTCATTATCATTCAAATTCAAGAATTCCATGTTTGAACAATTTCCTAAGCTCGGCGGTATATTTCCTGAAAGATCATTTCCTGAGAGATCAAGGACACACAGCCCTTCCATGTTTCCCAATGAAGACGGGATGTTTCCCGTAATATTATTATTGGACGCATCGAAGTACTACAAATTAAACATGATTTGTCCAATGTTTGCAGGAATATAGCCAAAAAGCTGGTTGTTTGAGAGGTCTAAATCCATTACCTCTGGAACTAGCACGGGTATGGGGCCTTTAAAGAGATTTGAACTCAGATCTACGGTTGCCTCATGCCCAGTTCTGCTGATATTTGGAAACTGGCCTTGTATTCCATTATTTGAACGGTCCGGTTGGATAATGTGAAAGGAGATATCACAAAACCAGCTTGGTAATATACCTGAAATACTTGCATTACATAAATCCAAATATTGAAGTATCCATTGAGTTTTGATCCAAGGAGGGAACCCAGTCCTTAGAGGTAACGAGCCTAGGACAAGATGGTAGAGCTGAAATGGAGGAACCCAATCATGACTCACATTTAGCACCAACAAATTATGAGACAAGTATAATTTTTCAAAATTTACAAGTCTCGCAAAGATAGCTTCGGCGACCATCCTTCTGAGGTTGTTGTCAAAGACATATACTTCACGCAACATAGAAAGGTTTCCAAGAGTGTCCCATTCAATTGGCTACCAGTGAGGTGCAACTCTCTTAGGTTCTCCAGGTTTGCAAGGCAGTATGGAACCCAATGTTGCAAATCATTCTCACTGAGATCAAGGTGTTCAAGGCTACCAATGTGAGCGAGGAACTCTTGTGAATTGATTTTCAGGAAGGGTAAGTACACGAAGTGAAGTAGAGTTTGGTAAATGAGGGGTTGGGATGGAGTCTAAGAGATTGCAGAGCTGTGCTTCCACTTGAGTGAGAAGAGGAAGCCCAAGGATCAACCTGGGAAAATCTTGGCTTACCATTGAAAGGTTCAAATAATTCAGTTTAAAGAGTTGTAATGAAGAGAGATTAGCAAGCCATTCAAGGTTGTCCACACTCAAATCTTGATAAACATCAGAAAGATCAAAATGTTGGAGGTGTGTGAGATTCCCCAGTTGAGGAGGAATCTTGCCTCCAAATCTCAGCCAAAGAACCCAAGAACTCTGGTATAGGATTCAAAGAGAAGTCATTACGGCTTAAGTCGAGGAAAGACAAATGTTTGAGCTCTGCCAAGGCTGGGTCTATATGCCCACTCAAGCTTAGAAACCTACCGGAGAATATGAAAATAATCTAAAGATAGATTTATTTTGGTTAGTTTTGTTTTCAATTTTTACTAGGGAGATATTTTAGGGGTTTATCTTCTAAAGTCACATGAGGAGGTGATTTACATGTATAAAAGGAGGTACACACCATGTAATTGGAGAGATTTGAATTTTATGAAATAAAGAACGTTTTCTTTGGAAAGAGAAATGTCCTTTGTGGGTGTTGTTTCTTCTTTTGAGTTTGCTCCATGCCGGAAGACTCGTATCCGCGTATTTTATTGTTTTTTCTTGTGATTCCTCTATGGATTTTATTTCTCTCTCTTAAACACAGCTATTTTATCGGGTGGTATTCACCGAAAAATTTTATACTATCTCAACAACTCAGGTTCCATTCTTTACTTTTGTAAAAAAAATTAAAATTAAAATTTCAAAAACAAAATAGTAAATATACGTTTAAGGAAAAAGTTGAAATAGAGCCTAAGTCTCTAACAAATCAAATTAGAACATACCTCAGATTGTTTTGATACGCAAATTTTTTCAAATTGATCCTTTCGTCTCTACCACTTATTCTCTCTTCCACTTTGCTCTCTAACCAATGGGTTCATTAATTGCTTTTGTGGTGTTTTTGTATTTTATTTATAAAAAAGATTTAAGTGATTGTGGGGTGCAATGCATAGAAGCTAAAGGCCTAGGAAGCCACAAGGCCTTTCATCAAAGCCGTCCATTTAAGACTAAAAACGGCTCTAGTGGTTACATTAGTTCATTTTCATTTGAATTTCGACAATTTTAGTTGTTACAATTCTATCAAAAAATTGACCAATTCTACCCGAAGTGAAAGATATAATAAGGATGTAAAAGATACAAAATTGTGTAAATAAAATAAATACTATTAAAATTTTTGGCGGGCATTGTGTGCAGTTGCACAATCATATTATTATGCACATGCTCCGTCAAGCATGAGGCCTACTTGAAGAGGATTTCTTTCATTTCAAACTCGGATACACGGGGTTTCCAAAAAGGAAAAAGTTTGTATAAGGTTGCACCTTAGACTCTCGACGAAATGTGCATCTCAAAAATCCTACAGTGGAGAGTGGTCCCAAATAGGAGAACCCTCCAATTGATCATCTTGACTTTGAGATGAATGGACATAAAAAAAATAAAAAATTTTATGTTAAAAAAATAGTACATCTGGTAAAGAGTCATCTGGACCGTCTATTTTCAAAATTTTCAAGTGTTTATTGATCTGTTCGATTTGTGCCATCTTTTAAATTTTAAATTTTCTAACTAAAGATAAAACATTTTTTTGAAACCATCATAAGATTTTTGACTCCAAAATGACTATCTCTAAATAAATTTTATAGGTGCACTTGACTTCTACAATATAAGGAGGCAACCTTATACAAACCTCACCTTTTCAAAAAACATCTTGCTGACAGCAACATGTTACTTTACGAACTTCATGATGTTAATTTTTTACAAGAAAATGAGAAGTGGTTACAAATTTTGTCATGAACATTACTACCATTTTATTTGCAATACCATAAAGCAAAACCTTATTCACAAAAGAAATAATAATAATAAATAAATAAAAACTTGATAGCTCACTTTGACAATCATAGTTTTTTTGTTCTTATTACATGAAAAAGTCCAAAACTAATGTACGTTTCTTTTATTTTTACTATAAAAATTTGAATTGCATTTTTACTTTATTTTGATTATAAAAATGAATATAATGGATAATAAACAGTAAAAACATGAGACATGCTCTCAATATTTATGTAGTTTAAGTGAAATATTGAAAACTATAATGCAATACCCTTATTTTTTGGGAGCCCTAATAACTAACTTTTAAAAAAAGTTTAGTGATTCTCAAAAACATTTTTAACTCAATTCTTGCCAAACTGTCAGATTCACCGATCCGAACTAGTTTTTTAGATGGACGATCCAGGTCATCTATTCGTTTTTTGAACACTGCCCCTAACAATATATAGCTAATCTAAATGCTATAATTTTTGTTTAATGTGGTTTTTTATATTAATCTTAAACAAATATTTCGAAGAGCATTGCAATATCCAATGCTTGTTGGGCACCTCACTCTACTTGTGTCATGAGCATAGTTAGCAAATAGGCGATTAATCGCCGATTGTTTGCAAAAATTGGCATTTTCTTAAAAAACGTTTAATACGGCATTTTTTTTTGGAAAATGAATTAAACGGGCTCAAAAAAATGCATTTTTACTTGTATTTTTTTTAAAAAAGAAAAAAAAAAATTCCTGATATGAGTAATTTCTAGAAAAACGTATTATTTCCATAAAAAAGAAATCCTCTGTAAATTTCATAATCTTCATGTTCTTAAAAAAACGTATTATTTCCATCAGCAAACCTAATCTTCATGTTCCTGAAAATTTTATAATCTTCATACTCCTGAAAACCCCCATCCCCAAGAAACCCATTTGATTTTCTCCCCTCATCCGCAATTTTGAGCTGTTTCCAAACTCACAAAGCAAAACCCCCATCCCCAATTTTGAAGAAGCATACCCTATTTTCAATGAAACACAGGTCTTCCAAAGACCTTGTTGTTCTATCGAACTTCCTTATCAGTGAGATCAGGGGAGAAGAGAGTTCTATTGAGCTTCTTCCTGTTCTCAGGTCTTCCAAAGCCTTGCTCCATCTTTTTCCCAAAAATCTTCAAGCTCACAAACGGTTTTGGAGAAGCACTTTTCAATGAAAACAACTATAAAGTATAAAGTAACCTTTATATTTACCACAGCTATAAGTAACTTAACCATAGTTAAAGTATTTAATGATTAAAAAAAGAAATTGTGCATTTTTTTGGGTGTATTGATATTTGCTAAAGTATTTAAGTAGATTTGGATATTTAAAGTAGATTTAGGGTATGTTGATATCTAAGTAGATTTGATATTTGTTGATATTTAATTGTGTTTTTTTTTTTAGGTATGGTGATATTTAAGTAGATTTGATATTTGTTGAAGTATTCAACGTGAAGATTTATATGGTGTATGTTGGGTATGTTGATATTTATAAAAAAGAAATTGTGCCTCTTTTTGGGTATGTTGATATTTATAAAAAAGAAATTGTGCCTCTTTTTGGGTATGTTGATAGTTAAATAGATTTTATATTTGTTGAAGCATTTAATATGAAAATTTATATGGTGTACTTTTTTTCTTTTTTTTTATTTGTGATCTTTGTTAAATTATTTAATGTGAAAATTTATATCGTGTATTTGTTTTTTGGTATGAAGTAGTTGTGATCTTTGTTAACTTATCCAATTTTTTGAGTACGAGTTTTTTAGCCTAGTCCGATATATTGGCGATATCTTTACATGAAGTATTTTTGCCAATCCATATTTTTTATCCGACTTTTTTATTCGACTTTTTAAAATAAAAATGATTTTTTCCCGATTTTAAGGTAAGCCAATTTATTGAAAATCCGCGACTTGCTAACTTTTGTCACTAATTTAGGTGTCGGCTCAAAACTAAAATCTTATAATCCAATTGATAAGTTGATATTATACTTACAAAGTCCTAAAATGTTAATTAAGATTAAAAAACTTATCTAATAATTTGATCACCAAAGCGTCGAGTAAATAAATGGCAACGTGAGCGATCTTAAATACACCTTTCATGAAAAAGCAAATTTTATTTATGATTTATGTTATGTTTAATTTATTATTTATGATATTTCTCAATTATAAATTTAATTGATAGATATAATTTCAAACTCATTTCTTAATTAGTGTTTTAAAATTCGATATTTATTTATTATTTTGATAAAAAAATTGAAACTGTTTTGCGAAAGAGAGCAATCCTACACTCTAGGGTCATGAAGGATTTTAACCGATTTTTACTTCTAGGTCTTTTAGTTTTGGGCCCACATGAATTAATACATATACTCATTTTTACTTCCCGGTCTCTCGATTGAGGACCCACATAAATTAGTTCAAATACTATTTTTTTTTTTTCCAAAGTCTATAAATTGAGGACCCACGTAGTTTAATGCACAAGTTTATTTGTCCTTATGCCTAAAATATCCTCTCGCACCTTTCCAAGTCTTGGAGAAAATTTTCTTTACTGCTTACCTCAGTGGGGTTACAACCATTAACAAAGAATGAGATTCCAAAATTGTAGTGAATTTTCAAGCGTATTTTCTTACCATTTTCTAGGATTCCATTGTAAATTGTTGTGTATTAAAGAGATCCTTTGATTTTTTGTAAATAAATAAATAAAACCTTTCCAAGTTTTGAAAAAAAATTTCTTAACTGCTTACCTCAGTGGGGTTACAACTATTAACAAAGAATGAGGTTCCAAAATTGTAGTGAATTTTCAAGCGTCTTTTCTTACCATTTTCTAGGATTCCATTGTAAATTGTTGTGTATTAAAGAGATCTTTTGATTTTTCATAAATAAATAAATAAAAACCCATCAAGTATTTGTAAATATTTTCGAATCTATTGATTTTTAAGAGAAGTTTGGCGATGCAATTAAATATTGAGTCAAGTTTCATTATTTATAGGTAGTTTTGTCTACTAGGTTTGTAATGAAAATGTTAAGAGAGAGAAAGACAGTAAATGTCAATAGACATGTTGGAGAGTTTAAAGATACATGTGCAGTCACAAGATACTCTCTCTATCACAACTAAAATGTAATATCTGTGGGTATCACGATGAGTTGAAAAATTGTGCAACTGTCACCTTTCTTGAGTTTGGCAATACAACACAAGTATACCATAGAGTTGAAAATTTTACGATTACCATAATGAGTTGAAAAATTGAACAAATGACACATTTTCTGAGTTTGGCATTACAACACAAGTGGACCAAAGAATTGGAAAACTTTGTGGGTACAGTATTTAGTTGGAAAATTGAGCACCTCTCACCTTTCACCTTTCTTGAGTTTGGCATTACAGCACAAGTGGACCAAAGTGTTTGAAAATTTAGTGTATAGGACCCTTTCCATACTTGACTTGGACTTGTCTTTCAGAGTAAGTACGCATAGTGAACGTTTACGCCTAGTGAACGTGTTCCATATGCATACGAGAGAGAGACATAGAGAGAGAGAGAATGTCAAGTGAAACAGGCCATGGGTTGGGTATGCATAACCCAAAAGTGGTCTGGGTAACTAGCCTGAATCGGACAAGTACAAACTAGGCAAAAAGCTTATTGAAAAATTTAAAAAAATCTAAAAAACAGTAAATATATGTTTAAAGATTAAAGAAAACTAATCTAAATGATGTTAAAAAAATAATAAAAAAAAAAACAGATTTGAAAAATCAATTTATGAAGGGGATATTTTTTAAATAATAATAAAGATATGGGAAAATGTAAAAAAAAGTCTTCATGGCATAAATACTCGACAAAATTATAAAAACTCCAAATACTACACTTATTATGCAACTTACCCCCAACCAATTTATTCTCTCACTTTTTTTCCAAATTATATTTTCTATGCAAATACCACTTCCAACCAAAAAAAAATTAAAAAATGCTATACAACCCCGCCTTTAACTTTACCGTCCCGTTGACCTAATTTTTTAACTGTATTTTCCCTCTCCCTCCCTCTCTCTCTCTCTCTCTCTCACTCTCACCTTTTAACCTCAGTTTCCCTATCTCTCTCGCTCTAACTCCCGGCTCGAGCCTTCTCCCTCTCTCTAGCTCTCTCTCATGGCTCGACCTCGTTCCCTCACTCTCGCTCTCTCCCTCTCTCGGCTCGAGCTCTCTCCCTCTCCCTCTTCAAAGGACTGAAGGCCCACCCTCTCCCTCTCTCTCTGTGAAACGGTTCGAGCTGTCAATTTCTTCGCCCCAACCCAAGCCCCAAAGCCCGAGCTCGAATTTTAGCCGAATCTCTTAGCCCATTATGAAATAGTTTTTTAATTATTTCTTATTAAATAAATATATTACAGATTTATGGAAGAAAATCGCTAAAATTTGTTATAGGGTTATTGTTTGTTGAAATTTGTTGTATTTGATCTATCATTGACAATGAAGGGATGAATTGCTCATGGCTAAAGAATTATTGAAGTTTTTTTTTATGAATTTGTTATGGAGTTTGCCTTTTTTTTTCTCTTGTATCATTTTAGGGTTAGAATGTTCTAGGAAATTTTGGGTGTTTTTTAGATTGAAAACCATTCAATCGTTTCATCTAAATTGATTACTCATAACTTAAGAATTATTGAAGTTTATCTTTTGAATTTGTTATGGAGTTTGGCTTTTTTTCTCTATGGTCTATTGCCATATTAGGGCTAGAATGTTCTTGGTGGTAGGAAATTTTGGATTTTTTTTAAGATTGAAAATCATTCAATTATTTGATCTCAATTGAATGCTCATGGCTTAAGAATTATTGTAGTTTTTCTTATTAAATTGCTATAGAGTTTGTCATTTTTTCTCCATTGTGATTTTAGGGCTTCAATGTAATTGGTTGTAGTAAATTTTGGGTTTGTTTTGTTCTATATGTTTTCTCTTGGTTATCTTTGCATCAATTGTTTCTTATTTGATGATCTATCCTCTCTCTCTTGTTCAAATTTAATTTTTCATTCCTAGCACTTGTTAATTTTAGTAGTAGCTCTTTGAAAAAAAAAAAAACCCAAAAAACATACTTTAGGATGGTCTATATTGCTAGTTGTATATATTGTGCTTATCTATATTTTTTGATTGAACTATAGCTTAGAGAAATGGTATTGCTTCCAGCTGTCAACTTCTTCGGCCCAAAGCCCGAGCTCGAATTTTAGCCCAATCTCTCAACCCCATTGTGAAAGAGTTTTTTAATTATTTCTTATTAAATAAATATATTATTGATTTATGGAAAAAAATCGCTAAAATCTGTTATAGGGTTATTGTTTGTTGAAATTTGTTGTATTTGATCTATCATTGACAATGAAGGGATGGATTCCTCATGGCTTAATAATTATTGAAGTTTTCTTTTTTATGAATTTGTTATGAAGTTTGCCTTTTTTTTCTCTATTGTCATTGTAGGGCAAGAATGTTCTAGGAAATTTTGGGTGTTTTTTGGATTGAAAACCATTCAATCGATCTAAATTGATTGCTCATGGATTAAGAATTATTGAAGTTTTTCTTTTAAATTTGTTATAGAGTTTGGCTTTTTTTCTATATTGTCTATTGTCATATTAGGGATAGAATGTTCTTAGTTGTAGGAAAGTTTGGGTTTTTTTTTTAAAATTGAAAATCATTAGTCATTTGATCTCAATTGATTGCTCATGACTTAAGAATTATTGTAGTTTTTCTTATTAAATTGCTACAGAGTTTGTCATTTTTTCTCTATTGTGATTTTAGGGCTTCAATGTTATTGGTCGTAGTAAATTTTAGGTTTGTTTTGTTGTATATGTTTTCTCTTGGTTATCTTTGCATCAATTGTTTCTTATTTGATGATCTATCCTCTTTCTCTTGTTCAAATTTAGTTTTTCATTAAGAAAAAAATGCCTAGCTCTTGTTAATTTTAGTAGTAGCTCTTAAAAAAAAAAGAAAAAGCCCAAAAAACATACGTTAGGATGGTCTATATTGCTAGTTGTATATATTGTATTGATCTATATTTTTTTATTGAACTATAGCATAGAGAAATGGTATTGCTTAGCTATTGCTAAGAGAAATAGTATTGTTTATATAATAGAAATTTAGGACAAGGTTTTTCTCCAATTTGAAATACATTTGAATTCACTTCTACAAAGTCATTTAGTTTTCTTTCATTTCACAAAAGAAAGGTAT